TTGAAGATGTAACTTCTTTAGAGTCCTCACTGATAGAAGACCTTACTGATACACATTGATTTGCAGGTGCACCACTAATACCTATTCAATCTTGGGTGATAGCACTTTGGGATGCCATAGCCTATTGGTAAAAGCATATATAAGTGCAAAACAATATCAAATATGGAAAATATTATTATTTGTGCAGAACATATATGTATATGCTTTAAAACATATTAAAGCAGCTTAGGCAAAAAAATCATTTATGTCAGATCAACATGGGTGGACATGATATAATATATGCAACTGAATTTAATCAATTATACAATGGTCATTAACTAGGAGAACATACTGTTAGAACCCTAATAGTATTATTTCAAGAGTTCATTGAGAGGCAACATAAAACTTTTAGTATCATTTAGAGTAATGAATCAAAGCATTCATGATAGCTCTAGAAGACCAACTACAAAGAAGAAGATTGAAGCAATATATAGCAATGTGTAGACTTTAAATTCATATGTAAAAAATATGAAAGGACGTTATTGGTGTGGGAAAATACTCGAAATACGAGAGTAGCAACAACAACAAATTCTACAAGCGATAGAAAACATGGAATACATATATTCTGTAGATAAAACATATCGTATAACAAATATTACAATACTCATCGATCAACTAATTCGAATCTACAAGTAAGAAAATTACCGATTGTAAGCGAAGTATATTCTAGGAAGATATATAGAGGAATGGTGAGCATCCGGAATCAGAGGAGAAGGTTACGTGCCCGAACTCTCAAGAGGATGAAAAAGATTAGGCACCTAAAGGGTGAAGATACCTGCACACACATTCGACCAGGCCATAACGCCACAAGAGAGAGAGCCGAAACAATCTAAGGTATAGGTTTTGCGATGTCTTGTATACTTGTATGTGGACATGTCGCATAACTCAATGTGAACTACTATTTCATATATTTAATATGATAATGTGTGTGTGGGTTAAAATATATTAGTTAACTATACAAGTCAGGTAATGGTTCGAGTAACTGTAACCCAACACAACGGGGCAGTTAGGGGTGGTTACGGGGCGGGTTAGTATGAAACTGTAACTAACCCATTTCTCGTTAAATATATCGGTTAATCCGCACCCCATACCCGTTACCCAGTAAACACGGTTTCCCTCGTTTTGATCAAATAGGTTCGGTGAGGTTATCCATTGGGTCAGGTAATTTTTTCATCCCTATTTAATTTATGTGCCAAATGAATGGATGAGATCCTCCCCACCTAAGGGACTTTAAGACCAAGGCAAACCTTACTGATTCCCTTCAACGGGGGAAAGTTATACATGGACCCAAGGGCCCCTGAGGGCTAAACTTAATCGGGTACTCATAAACTCCGTTTGGAGGCAAATTTCGATTGCATTTGTGGTCCATTTCTAGGATATGGAGGTAGAGTTTGATCACACAACCTTTGTGGTCTTTATTCTACAAAACACATCCTCGAGGACCAAAAGCTTTGAATTCTATAATATGTGGCTAAAGCATCCTGATTTTTCTAATATAGTTGAGGGGGTTTGGCTTTGATACATAGATGGAACGACTCAATTTTCATTAGTTAAGAAACATAATGGGCTCAAGGGGCCTCTAAAGAATCTAAACAAAATAAATTTGGGCATATGTCTTTTAAAGGCAAAGAAGTCAAAAAGGAATATCAAAGGATACAAAGTCTTGCTTTGGAATCCCCACTCAATGAGGTCATTAAGAATGACTTACTTGAGGCAAAAAGGCGTGCTACATTTTTCGGAGAGGCCGACAAAAACTTCTTTCAAGAAAAGGCAAATGCAATGCATATACTTGAGGCAAACAAGGGTATGAAGTATTTCCATGCCATTGTGAAGCATAATATGGCCAGAAACTCCGTTACTTCACTCACATTGGAAGATGATTCAATTACAACTACTTTGGACCAAGTCAAACAAGAATTTGTAAGTTTTTTCACGCGCTTGTTTGGTACAAATTTGTCTTTGTTGGCATTGAACCGAATGTCATGGCATCTGGGGCTACTGTTGATTCACAAATGTGTGAGGGTTCGTTGGTCCTATAACTTATATAGAGATCAAGAACGCCCTCTTTGATATAGGAAAGGATAAGACCCCAGAGCCATATGGATACTCGGTTGCTTTTTTCAAAGAAAATTGGTTTATGGGTGGGGAGGACATGTATAATGCCATTAGGGAGTTCTTTTCATCGTGTAAGTTACTTAGAAAAATCAACCATACGGTGATCGTCCTTATCCCGGAAAAAAAAAACTCCCCTAGGGAATCAGACCTTAGACCAATCTCTTGCACTAACGTCACTTATAAACTTATCACAAAAATTATTGCTTCAAGGAGCGTTTGTTGATGGCAGCTTAATGTTTGATAACATTTTCCTGATTCAGGAACTTGTTAGAGGATACACTAAGAAACGTATTTCACCTAGATGTATGATCAAGGTGGATTTTCGAGGCTTGTGATACAATCTCATGGAAGTTTTTGGCTAGCATTCTCAATGATTTCGATTTTCCATTTAAATTAATTTAGTGAATCATGGAGTGTGTCCACAACCTCGTTTTCAATTTCTTTGAATGATTTACTACATGGTTTCTTTAAAGGCAAGTGGAGCATCATACAGGATGATCCTATGTCACCCCTTCTATTTGTCTGCCTTGAATATTTTTCCCACTTTAAAAAAAAGTCAAAGTGCTCAAATTTTAATTTTCATCCGTTATGTGGTTCCCTTAGCATCACTCATTTCGCCTATGCAGATGATCTAATGCTCTTTTCAGGGGGTGATTCAACCTCAATAAAATCTTGTTGATGCCTTAAAAGACTTTGGAGGTGTTTCAGGCCTTATGGTAAAAAAATGACATATCAAACATCTTTGTTGGGGGCATTCCGGATTATGAGCTTGCACATATTTTGGATCTTGTGGATTTTGGTCGTGGGCAATTCTTGATAAACTACATTGGGATTCCTCTGGCGCCACTTAAAATATCAGTTGCATAATATGCACCATTGCTTGATACGGTTACTGATTTTTAAATGCTTCGAACATGCATTAAGGCCATTTCGTACGCTGGAAAAATTGAGCTCATACACTCATCGTTCAGGATGTCCAATCATTTCGGTTGCAAGTGTTCATAGTTCCTCAAGCAAATGAACAATCATGGACAGAATTGTGGTGATGTGTAGGATCTTCCTTTGAGGAGGCAAATATGCCAAGGTAGCTTGAGATGATATATGTCTTCCCAAAGAAGAAGGGGAACTAGGCATCCGAAAATAAAAAATTTGGAATGCTGACCTATTAGCTCACACTTTATGGAACATTCACACTAAAGCATATACTTTGTGGGTGAAGTGGGTGCATAATGTTTATCTCAAGGGAAGAGATGTGTGTGATTTTATCTTCTGAAGTCTACGAGCTTTTCTGAACAAGTTGGACAATAAGGACGTGGAAGGCCTTCATCTAGAAGGATTATATCCCACCTAAATTCTAATTTACTACTTGAATGGCTTTTAGAAGTAGATTGCCCGCCAGGATATGCTTAATCATTATCGTATTGTAAATATGTGTAACCTATGCAAGGGTGACAAGGAAGTAGTGCAACAACTATTCTTTCTGTGTTCTTTTTCTTGCAAGGTTTGGACTGCAATTAGACCTTAGTTGGGCATGGATCACCAAATGACCATGGCACCACGCTAGCAAGCTTGGTCAAATGGATAAAGAATCATTGAGGAGCAAACATCAAGGCTAAGGCTGCCAGTATTGCTTTATGTGTCATAGTTTACTGGATTTGGCCTGCTTGAACTGCAATAAGATTTGATGGGGCGACAATGAAGGAGCAAGATATTATTGCAAAGGACAAACATATGGTCTATAAGGTCATAAATAACAAATATCCATATGAGATGGTAAATGGACAGGATCGATGATGCATAAGTGTTGAGATCAAGTGGTTCCAAAGTTTGATATGCACGAACCAATTTTTGTAATACTAAAAGTGTTTTGCCGCTGGGAACACTTGAACTTTGGCTAGACGTAGACTAGCTAATCTTTTTTATGAGGGCAATGGTCTCTTCCTTGATTAGGTGTTTTCCTTTTTTCCTAATGAGACTTAAAATTTTGGGCATATGTGGTACATGTTAACCTTTTTTAGATGCATATACATTTACATTTACATTTATGTGGTACAATAAAAATAGACCACATCAATTTCCCACATTCACCTTAGCACTATAATTCAATATCCCTCTACTTTATTTCAGGGATTGGCTAACATTTATTGCTAGCATTAGTTATTGATATTAGCTTCAGTGTGAGTCATTACAGTAGAAGTTTTAGCATATTGTGTTCGACGAGCCTATCATGTCAGGCCTAATTATTTAATTCATTACAATCAAACAAATACGATGGAGGACTGTATGTCACACATTTGGATAGAGAGAAATCAAGGATTACTCGATTTGTAAACGCCAATAAAATGATAATACCATAATATTAGTTTGAAATGATTGTAAATCTAGGATCATTCTAAGAAATGAGGGTATGGTGGCAGTGACACGTATTTGCTCATATCTTTCTTTTTTTATTAAAGCTATTATTATTGCCTTCTTTTTCAAACCACGCTTTAAGGAGCTTTTAACTATGAATTGGTTTTAGCTTTTCTGACCATGTCAAAAAGCTAACTTCTATGCCCAGTAAAATCCATATTGTATGAGCTAAAGTAACCTAAAAAGTTATGCAGTAATTTGCAAAGATATGAAATGTGGCTTTTGGAATACTGTTGTATTAAAGTTATGAACTAATTTATTTATAAATTTAATTCCTATTAAGATAGATTTAATTTGTTTAAAAGTTAAGGGTCGAGCTACCAGTTGGATACTCAGATACATACTTATGCATAACCAAACACCCACTTGTGTCAGTGTGTGTGGCCCACAAGATTTGGGCATGCTTGGCCAAGCATGGGTAAAGAATGGTGAAAGCCTCAATTCATTCTTAACCCTGGCCCACATTAGTACAAGTCTGAAATCCGTCATGACTATGAAGAAGATCAGTTAGCTCATAAATGATGACCATAATTGCAATTCTTCTAACGAAACGGAAAAGGTTCCCAATTCAAGAAGAAGAAAAAACTGTTGGATTTGCAACCACCAGCTCAGTTCTAAAAACAGAGAATGAATAAAAAGAAACCAATTAGATTAGATAGACTGACTCTTCATCCCTACCACCCTCAACTACAGAAGACTTCCTCCTCCTGAGCTGGTTGCTGCAATGCCGCTCCTTCACTTACCACCCCTAACAGCTTCATAACCTTCCTAGCTTAAACACCAATTGCTAGCTAGCTAGCTACCCTTCTCTGATGACTATGCTTCCTCTGCCGAATTAGATGGTGGCAGAGGTAGCATCTGTCTTCCACACCTCAACGGCATAAGTATCCCTTGGCTACCACACTCAGACCCTGGAAACATCCCCACTTTGCTTTGTCTGTTTTGCCTTGTCAGTCGGCTCGCTAGCAATTCCAATGCTTCCATCATCCATCCCTTCACACAAACCTCCCTTGCTTCGCGGATACTTATCTGCATTTTTATTATTATCATTTTTAGAAACTATTACTACGTAAGCATGCACATACAACAAGTACTAATACTACTATATCTTTATATTTACCCAGTGTCTTTGACGAATATTCATCTCGGGCCAACAATCTAGCTCCTCATTTACCAGCAATGGGAACATGTGCCCTTCACAAGCATTGCCACTTCTCATGCTTCCGAAGTTCCACGTTCCAAGTTTACACTGCAATCCAATTCACAGGGAATTGATAGAATACAGGGTTAGTTGCGGTCATTCAACTAGGTCATAAAACACTTACAGAGAGTTTGTGTAGGGAAAAGCTAGATTCTTTTTAGTTTAGTTCTAGATTCACCTCATTTTTTACCATGTTATGACAAGGTTTTCATATATCTGAGACTCACCTCAGAAAACCATTGTAAAAATCTTTTGAAACATAAGTTTAAGGAAGTTAACCACTCTTTATTACGGAGTAGTTTTTTAAAAGGGCTCACCTAGATTTTTATCTCAGTTTAAACAAACTTACATGATATTTACCTGGATTATTATATACGTAAATCCAATATTTTTAAACCTAGATTCACTTAAGATCACTGGTTTCACTTTAATTCACTCTATCCAACCGGCGACTAAAAGATTGAACCTAATCTGTTAATTAGTTACCAATGTGAGATTGTAACATGAAAGAAGCACTGAGAGATCGATAATGGAGATCAGAAAACTAACCTCAATATCTCCTACCACGCCAGCTTCCTCAATCGTCTCTCGAAGTGCTGCAGCTTCAATTGTTTCATCTACTTCCCAGCCGCCCTGGAAAAAAGACAACCCCAGACAGAAGTTTATTACTTTGTATGTAAATAGAGAAACTCCCACCACATGGTTTTCCGTAAGTTTGTGCTTTCTGCAATTTTGTCAAATAATCACAAATAACATTGGCTTACCTTGGGAAACAACATCCCTTTGCCTTTTCTCTGTGGACTAATGACAAGAACCTCATATGCATCCTCATCAAAAGAAGGCAATGCGTTGATTCTATCCTTGTACCTGTAAGGTATGCATCTGCACAACCATATATACAAACAGCTTAGAATACAGCAGCATGATACTAAACGGAATACAGAAAAACCCAAAATTCGAAAACAAGCAATTAACAAGTTTTAACGAGGAAATTGTCATGTCTTGACCCTTTGGTTTCTTTTAAAAACCATGATCCTCTTCTGAAAACAAAACAGGTTGAATTTACCCGATTCTAATATTAACTGCAATTACTATTTTTAATAAAGTGCAGCCCAGTCAACTACGTAGCAATCAAAACGCTCCATGTAACACCAAACGTTCATGCCGTGTTGCTACCGTGTACCCCGACTTCTCCAATAACTCAATAATTCATGTTCTAATTTACTTATTTTCGGAAAATAACTTCTCCAATAAGTCTGTAATTATAACCAGACGGAGAGGTAGGCTAATGAGACTTAATCTTTCTACTACAAAAATATTTATAAATACGATAAATATGAACACATATACTTCAAAAGTCTTAAGTCAACGCCCTTTGGGAGAGAAATAAAACAAACGAAGAAAATTTGCAGACGACTTCCTGGACTTATCTACCAAAAAATGATACAATCATGAAGGAACAGAAACTTTTTGTGAGTTTTGTTCAGAGAAGTACCCGACGACTTGGCGGCGACCATTGTCGTAGCGCTGCAAATGCCGGCCGGTGCGTGAAACCAAGGCAACCATGTTTTCAAATTCCATTTGAGTACGCTCTAGAATGAAGAGCGAATGATGGAAAGGAAGAAGAGGGAGATTAATAAAGTAGAGGAGGAAGGGAATGTGAATAATGGAAGAGGAGAATCCCCTAAAAGGAGAAGGAAGGCGAGAGGAAGGATGAAAGCTGAAAAGGAAGAATTGGTCTAGAATGCCTACTCTCTCTTACCGGAATGGGGAGAAACCGTTAATGGCAGGGCATCTACTTTGTGTTTTGGCAAAACAGGCGAAAGGCATATATCTATCTATTGAGAGTTGAGTTTTCAATTTCGAAACCGCCCGATATTGATGATTAACTTTTGTTAATGGTAGTGATCATCTACCACTTACGTGTAATTGACCAGACACGTCCGTTTTATAGTGACCCTTTGTGGCGTATCAACACTTTCCAATCATAAATAATACTCCGTTCCAAAATGATGGTCCTGTATTTCCTTTTTAGGATGTCTCAAAATGATGATCTTGTTTCCCTTTTTTGAAAGAAATATGCTGTCCATATCATTTCACTTTATTATATTCAAATCTTAACCTCAACTTTTACCTTTTTAACCACTTTATTAAAACTTTCCAACAATTATCTTTTCCTTTTAGCTTTTTTAGATCATTTAAAAAACTTTGTATCTTGCTTTCTATAGTTTTTGATATTTTTCTTTTTTCTACATAAACTTCAATTACATACTCCTTTTTACTTTGCAATCATGGAGGCGGCACACCTCAAATCCTAAGCTAAGCCTAGGAACTGTGCGTCAGTTCGTGGATTCTTAGGGCGGGGAGATTGCTATGCCGATCGAAAGCAATGTCTAAGGAAGAGGGAAGGGCTGATCTTGGAGGCTGGAGGATGTTTTGATATCAACTCCCCGATATTCTTCGTAGGGATATGACCCAAGTGCAGTTTTCTTCTTTTCTGGTATGTTTGTTTTGTTTTGTAGCGGTTCTTTCCCGGACACTGGCGCTCCGGGGTGGTTTGTCCCTCTTAATGTGCAGAGTTATTTTGTTATATACAAGCCAGCTTCGCCAGATCAGGAGTTCCTGTCTGTTTTCTTTTGGAGTGCATAGAGATTGATAGATCTCGTCCTCCTCCAGAAGACCAGAAGCACATCCATCCCAGGAAGAGTATTATGGACAGACTTTATTTCAATTTTATTTTTCCTTCGGTAATACTTGTTTTTATTTTTTGAGTAGGCTTATTTTGGATTTTTGGATTTTTGTAGTACGCTTGATAGGGCGGTGTTTCGATGCCAATCGTTTAGGCTTAAAAATTAAAATTGCATGTTTTTTGTTTAGTGAATCTGGTTGTAATTTTTTTGAGGTGGTTGATTCTGTCTATTTCTAGGGTTGACGATCGAATCTGTCATAACTTTCTGGAGGTTGTCTTGTATGATTACTCGATTTTAATATAAAAGCCACCCTTTTATTCTTAAAAAAATAGTTTTTACTTTGTAATTCTATGTGCCGTTCAAACTTGACAAAGTTTTAAGCCAACACGTAATTTTTTTATTTCACATGTTGAGTTGTGTAATAATCAAAATAAGTGAAGGTTGAAATTACTTTTCTAGCCGATTGGTTCAATTCACTGTAAAGGACTAAATTAGCTATTATTTCATACTCCCTATGTCCCTGATGGAGTATATGGGTACAAATCACATGACCCACATACTCAGAAGACTAAGAGGAGCACAGCTGTCACCCAGTGGGCCCTCCGTTGCCCAGATGGCACCCCATCGGCCAAAGAAGGGTCAATCCAGAATACGCTCTGGAAGCCAAGGAGAAGATTTGTCCTCCCTCAGCCATGCCTCCCTCGGGCGTGCCTCCCTCGGCCAGATTGCCCTCCATCGCCCGGATAGACATCAACTCAGAATACGGTCCGGAGGCCATGGCTCCGTCGGCCAGACCTCCGTCGGCCACAGAGAACACACAGAGCCAGATTTCATACTTAGCCAATTTACACACTTTGTATTCGGCCCAATAGAGGCCTCATTGTAAACGGGTCTCCCAAGCCCAAGACTTGGGAGCCTAGCCCACTTTTCCCTTTAAATACTCCCCTTGGGAGCCATGTAAAGGGTTCGAAAATCGTTAATATAAATCACTTCTCTCTCTAGCTCTCACTTTTCTCTAAGAGGTTATACTCTATCATTTGGTGCTTTCATTGAGAGCTAGAACAATCCAGTTAGCATCCTTCGTCTCTACCAAGCATAGCTAACTGACTATGGGAAGAACAAGGTCAAACTGTAACCTCATCAGCAAGGCGATCCCTGAAACTCAGGAAGATCGTGAACGCTCCGACGATGCTACAACCGATAAGGTCGCAAACACGGAGGTCTTCCAGGAGGCTATCGACCCCACGACGGACCTCCACAATCAGCTTAACGACAACGCTCAAGACGCCCGTATCGGCCTTGAGAAGAAGCGCACGGAGAAAAGTGATCGTGCATCGGGACAACAGGCTACTCCCACTATTGACCCTCAGCTTCAGGCCGCTCTATCGGCCATCATAGCCAGCCTGGCTCAGAACCCCACCGTCCTCAGCGCATTGATGCCAAGGACGGGGGAGAACGCTACACCACCACCACCACCTCAGTCGTTGGTCATGAACATCGGCAACGATGAGGGAGTGGTGGCCCAGGACACGACATCCCATTCTGATCCTGCTTCCCCTCGTCAACCTGGACCGACCCCAGTGCGTAGAGCCTCGGCCTTCAATAGGCTAGGGGACGCGCACCATCGGAGAGGCTAGCAGGACAGATTGTTGAGCGTGAGCCTGGCTCACCAAGGGAGAGCTTGGGATCCGTATCCCGAATAGCGGATCGGCCCCGCCGTGACAAAGGCAAGGGAAAACTACATGGGGACGACACATGTTGCCACATCAACGCGGCCGAAGCAGCCCGCATGGGCACACACATCGCTACTACGGCCACCAAAGACCCTCGGGACGAAGTCATCGCCCAGCTTGAAAGGAGGCTCACTCAGATGGAAGCGAATAAAATGGCCAAGGCACGTACGGCCGCTGCGTCCAGGTATCCCGGCTTCAACGACCTCTTGCACAAGGTCAGCGCCCTGGAGCGGGAGCTGGGCGACGGACATGGTGACCCCGTCATCCAAATCAGAACAAAAACTCCCTTCACCACAATGGTGCTCTTGGACCCAATATCCGAGAAGTACTGGGGGAGTGCCATCAAGCCTTATGACGGACGCACCGACCCCCAAGAGCATTTCAGCCGCTATGAGGACAACATGTTCATGGTAAATGCGTCTAATGAATACCTCTGTCGTTGGTTCCTTTCCACTCTTGAGGGACCAGCGTACGAGTGGTTCAACGCGCTGCCCGAAGGGAGCGTGGACTCATGGCAAGATCTTCCCCAACGCTTCCTCACCCACTTCGCCGAAAGGAAGCGCATGAAGAAACATTTCTCCCATCTCCTCTCCATCAAACAGCAACACGATGAATGACTCCGGTATTTCATCGATCGATGGACGAAGGAGACAGACGAGGTCAATGGTGCCGATGAGCGCACCCTCCTCATCCTCTTCAGTGGCGTTCTCCGCAGCCGCCCCTACGCAAGGAGCCTCATCACTGACCCACCGAGGTCATACACCAAGGCACTCCAGCAAGGGAGCTTGTACGCTGACGCCGATGAGCTCCACTCCCGCAAGAAGGATGGAGGCCAGCCATCAAAGAAGACAAACAATGCGTCGGCTCCAAGCGCATCCTCGGCTGGAGGCCATGCCCGCCAGAGCTGGAAGGAGCGCCCATGGCAGCCGAGGACGGACGTCCCAAGGACTCCACTCACGCACTCGGTGGATACCATCCTCGACTATGCAGAGGAGCAAGGTCTCATCCCCATAAATCCCCGATCGGCCAAGGAAATCTACGTTGTCCACCAGGGCGGCACTTATTGTCGTTACCACAAGAACACCTCCCACAATACAGATGACTGTGTCGCGCTGAGGAAAGCCATTGAGCGCTTGATTCAACGGGGTGAACTCCACCAATTTGTCAAAGGTGCCCTGAGGAACTCCACCGGCAATCAGGAAGGGGACACCTCGTCGAAAAAGCCTGAAATTGGGAGGCTCAGCGACGACGAGGACTTCGAGGAGCCCCAGCCGAAGAAGCGTCACATCCGCTGACTATGTCCTTCTCTGAAGGGACGCACAGCCGACGACTGGGCCTCCATTGTGAAGTTCTACCAGCAAGCCGACGGACGGCTGAGCCAGCAAGCCGACAGATGGCTCATCCCTCAAAATACGAAGGGCCCTCCATCTCGGTGAAGTTCTATCAGCAATTCGAAGAGGGTGCAGACGGAAGAACCCCCACCCCAAGGTCAGAAGCTCATTGAGAAGTTAACTCCTGTACGGGTTGTTAAGAAGATTACCACCCTCGGCCTTGAGCCACTGACCTTAATAAAAGTTGTTGCCATGAACAACGCACATGTTGTGTTCCGCTTATTTCTTGTAAAGTTTAAGTAAAGGATGCCACACAACAAAGCACCTCGCATCGGTCCCTTCGAGCGAAACACTCAGGCATGGACGACGGTGTCCCAAGACGAGGGGGCCGCAAATGGCCCACGTCTTGAAATGGGAAGCTCATCGCGTTGTCCTCGCGCTAAATCGCATTACGACAGGCCTGAAAGAATGGCCGATGTGACAAAATCCCCACACTAGGAGTTGGGAAACAGCAGCCGTCGGCAACCGACCAAAAGCCTGAGCCCACGCCATAAATAGACGACGGGACCCCCCAAGATCAAGGGATGAGCCAGCTCCAGAGGACTGACTACCCTCCCGGACTCCCTACCGGCCAAGGGAATAGCAAACCCCTCGGTCGAAGCCTGAAAGAAGGATCCCACACCTCGCTCAAAGTAGAGGAAGTCAAAAAAGAGGGACAACCGAGGACCGTGCACTCGCCGGCCTTGAGCGAAATCCCCACAAATCAAAAGAGGGAAGCCGAGGACCGCGCACTCGCCGGCCTCTAGCGATAAAAATAAAATCCCCACAAATCGAGCCACATATTTGGCTAAGTACATATCAGGCAAATACTATGCATTATGGACGAAGCAAGATCATACATGCGGATCAGACGAGCGCCAAGCGCTGTCCTTCATCTTCAGATGACCCGCTTCATCAGCGCCGTCATCATCAGGGGACGAGTGTCCAATGCTGTCCCTCATCTTCAGACCGGCATCAAAGTCTGGTCCTTCATATGACATACGGCTTCATCAAAGCCATCGTCATCAAGGGACGTGCGTCCAATGCCGCCCTTTATCTTCAATCTAGGGGCAAAGTCTGGTCCTTCATATGACGAATGGCTTCATCA